GGGTACACCTGAGAGTCACTGCACACAGCTGGGAGTGATAGCGCACACCTGAGAGTGATAACGCACACCTGACAGTCATAACACACACCTGGGCTGGGGCTGGGCAAAACCATCCAGACGATCTCGCTGCCGGCTCACCTGGCCTGCGAGAAAGGTAACGCACCTGGGGGGCACACCTAAAATACACCTGAGAGCGATGACTCATACCTGAGAGTGATAACACACACCTGAGAGTGGTAACACACACCTAAGAGTGATAACACACACCTGAGAGTAATAACACACCCGAGAGTCACCTGAGAGTCACTGCACACACCTGCGCACACCTGGGCTGCTGCAGAGTGGGTTACCGGGAGATTTTGGCCTCACCTGAGCCCCTCAGGGAGGTTCCCAGGACTCACCTGAGCCCTTTCCCAGGTGTCTCACCTGTCCCTCACCTGTGCAGGCAGCTGGGGCCCTCACCTGGGACTCACCTGTGCAGGCAGCTGGGTCCTCACCTGAGCCCAGTGTCCTTTACCTGTCTCACCTGTCCCTCACCTGTGCAGGTAGCTGGGTCCTCACCTGGGATTCCCCTGAGTTGTTTTAGGGGGGTTTGAGTCTCACCTGGACAGGTTTGGGGGCTCCCAGGACTCACCTGAGGCCATTCCCAGGTGTCTCACCTGTGCAGGCAGCTGGGGACCTCACCTGAGCCCAGTGTCCTTTACCTGTCTCACCTGTGTCTCACCTGTGCAGGCAGCTGGGCCCTCACCTGAGCCCTGTTTCCTTTAGCTGTCTCACCTGTGCAGGCAGCTGGGCCCTCACCTGAGCCCTGTTTCCTTTACCTGTCTCACCTGTGTCTCACCTGTCCCTTACCTGTGCAGGCAGCTGGGGCTCTCACCTGAGCCCTGTTTCCTCTACCTGTCTCACCTGTGCAGGCAGCTGGGCCCTCACCTGAGCCCTGTTTCCTTTACCTGTCTCACCTGTGTCTCACCTGTCCCTTACCTGTGCAGGCAGCTGGGGCTCTCACCTGAGCCCTGTTTCCTTTACCTGTCTCACCTGTGTCTCACCCCTGGCCTGCGAGAA